AGTTCCATTTCGGCCTTTTTATAGGGATACAAAGTAGGGATTAGTCAAGAATTTTCGAAGTTGCAGAAGACACTGCAGATGTTAGATTTTAGGAGAGTACGTAATTAAATCTAAAGAAGAAATTTAAAGGGGCTATTATAAATTAAATTAGAAATTGATAAGTGATTTATTTTTTTTTGCTTTATGATATGTTCTTAAGATTATTTTCAAGAACTTTGAATATTCTCAATCAAGAATTTTTCAAACTGAGAAAATGATTGAGACTTTCAAATTTTACTTTAAGTAAATTTTTGCATTCCATTTACAAACCGTATAATATTTTACTATATTCCTAAATTATATTTCTATATTTTTTTTAATCGAATATGAAAAAATTCATGAAACAAATGACCAAGCATAGTGAAAACCTAAACGCTATGTCTCTGGAGCACTTCATTGCTTTCTCATTGCAGTTGTAAATATTGTAAGTATTCTCCAAGATTTCTCTTCCCTTTGCTACTTTCTCCCCAAAAGACGTTTTTCACGCCAAGCCTTTTTATCTTTGAAGGAGGGATACGTAAAATATAAAAAGAAATGAAATATTAAACTTAATTGCAATCAATTGGCAATAGATCATCAGATTCGTAAATTTAAGTTAAACGCATCCCGCTTCAAAAGTTACTACTTTGCTGCGTCACTCTACCGTATGTTACATCACGCTTTTCCTACGATGTCTCTGTACTGCGACATCGCTGTTCAGCCCAATCGCTGTTCAGAATTGACAAAAAGACTTCCCGGCTATAAATAGGACCGAAGTGAGTAAGCATTGCTTTTTCTCGCCTGCTGCTGCTTGAATACACCACGTCTCACGCTTCGCCATCTTTCTTTATTACCTGAAATGTAAACTGTGTATATGAAAATTGTGTGGTGCGTCATAATAGACTTCCAGCTGACTCGAATTCACGTCACATTTGGGAGGGGGAGAATTACAAAATCCCCTATGTAGAGTCCTTTTTGTTGCCTAAAACCAAACACAGCAGACAACTGTGTATTTATGTATCATGACTGTAGCTTGTGAGTAAATATGTCCAAGATGAAAAAAATTGTAAATAAATACATACTGATAAAGCAGGTAAAAATGTTTTTTACCATATAGTTATGCCTATAAGATTCAGTCAGCCTAAGTATAAAGAATTAAAAACTGCATTATGGAGAAAAACTGTAAAAAATTCTGAAGAAATAATATAACTAGTTCCCAAAAATACACTTACTTTCAAATTTTTTTTATCTGAGATATCACTCGATTTTTATTCTTCAAACTGCATCCGAAATCAACTGCTTCGGAAAAGAATCCTCCAAAAAGTTCCTCGACGTTGCATTTCTATTATGAATAAAATATAATGCGATACTGAGGAAAATAAGAAAACATCGATCACAAAGTGCTTAGACTGCTTCGTAACTGCACAACTGCTGTTTACTCGCATGCGACAACAACCCCTTTATACCAATCATAAAGTTGCGGGGAAATGCAATTCCCATCTTGCTTGCAGCAAGAATATCAAAATACCAAAATAGAACCATAAGAAAATATTTTACGACTTACGGTACTTCATTGCTGACTACGAAAAACTCGGCAGGCGAGATTTACGATCTGTCCCAGCTATTTTCGAGGTTAGAAACTATTTGCTTGCATTTATGCTTCCTTTTCAAACAGAGAGTCTTTTATCAGAGTCCGGTATCCGGTACGATATTTTTTCAGTATCATAACCACGATATTTAGGGTATCCTGATATTTGCGTCGGTCTCGGTAATTTTGTAAGGGAAACCGGGAGATTTCACAGGCGTGATAATTATCATAAATTACGAGCATCAAAAGAGCGTTAACGGATTTAGGATGTACGACATCAATCAGTTAAAATGAGTTATCTCCATCCATAGTTTGCTATGTGGGTATGTTTCTCATTAACGGGCATTTTCTGTAAGCTATTTGAATTAATGGAATGGATCAACAATTCATCTGCATTTATTTTTCGGAGGAATTTTGGATTTTACAGGTTGGCATCACCTTTGTCAAATAATATATAATAATCAATAAATTTTGTCAGTAATGGTAAATTAAAATGGTAATAAATACAAATATATTTAAACTAACTGGCTGCTGCTTTAATTGCATATTGAATTAAAAATACGAATACAGTTTAATAAAAATATAATTTAATGCCAGAATATTAAATAAACAATAAAATGAATGATATGTAAGATGACTATAAAATCTAAATTTATTTAAAGTGAGATTTAAGACACATTCGTTTTAAGTAGACACTTTCAGTTGTTAAATGAAAATTCCTTGTTGAAATTTAAAAAATATTATTCTTCAGTATCTCGAAAAATAAAAAGAAATTAGTCAGTAATTGTATTACTAATCAATTTTCCAAATAACGAGCTATTCCTGATTTCCTTTTGTAAAGTATATTTCTGGCAACAATACAGTTTATTGAATTCTCTTGAAATACTGCCTTGAAAAATATCGTTGAGAATTTTAAAGGTTTCGCTATAAGAAAAGCAAATTTAATACAGTTTTGCTCTCATATTTAGCAAAACAAGCGTTTCGACATTGCAGTTGTTATTAAAATATATAAGAGCGCAATAAACGAGAAAAAATACTTCACGAAAATACATAACTTTTTAAAGTTTAAAAAAATCATATTGGTGTTTTTCTTTGTTCACAAGATTTCCGTTTTCCTTATAAACATTAACAATAAAATTATTAAGCTTTAGAAATTGCGTTTTTATTTCGACATTTTCCAAAAGATTAAAAATAAAGGTCATACAAAAAAAATCGCATTTGTGAATGTCGGAGGCATGACTATCCGCTTTCAGGCACTTGACGTTTCAATCAATAAATTCTACAAAACGTTTCTTGAGAAATTAATATGAGTCCTTGCTGTTGATCCGCAACATCATGTCTTCAAAAAATAAATAAATAAATAAATAAATAAATAAATAAATAAAATAAAATAAAATAAAATAAAAAAATAAATAAATCAAACACCCAATGGAAATCGGTATGACGGGTATTAACAGGTTGAAAGCTAATTGAAGTATGAATAGTGAAAAATTCATTTAAAACGTACTGCAGAATCACAGCTTTCAGTGGTTCAGAAAGTATATTATAAACTAATAAAAATTCTCAAAGGAATCAGTCTCTGAATGTGAAGTAGTGTCTGAGATGCGAACATCGACAACTTATAGGGTTCCAACCTAGAATTTACAGCTATGTGCGTGAAACCTTGAGAACTGGTAAATGAATAATCGCTTTAGCTCAGGAAACAGAAACGTTAACTCAAGAAGGGTTAATTACCCTTTATTGCTCAAAATAAGGATTAACAGATGGCCCTTTTCTCAGGACGTACAGAAAAGCCCCACTTGGGTTTGAACTCAAAAGTAATAAGAAAATCAAACCTAACTAATGCTTGATTAAAAAGATATAACCGAAGTTATCAAAATTCTACAGGAGTTGGCCCCTAAATGCTAATTAAACGGCGAAGCTATCAAGGGCCCAAAATTCGGCCGTGCTTAGTAATAGCTTAGAGAGAGTGAAGCCAAAAGGCAAACGCGCGCTAGTTTGAATGTCTGGCTCTTTAAGGAAGTCAATGGAACTTCGACTTAACCGCTGCTCTTCCTTCATTTGCATTATCGGCGATTCTAAAAACACACTCTGGCAGGAAATTTGTAAGCTGAAACTAGAAGGGACAGGAAAGTTATTTTTAACTAAAAATAGCTGTTAAAAATTTAAGACACACCTTACAAACTAGAGAGAATCAGATTTCGCTATTGAAAAATGATTAATATTGAATTTCCTTAGCGTTCAAATAAGTATTAAATTTTTATTAAAAAATTCAGTGTTCATTACTTCATCTTGACCTTACATCATTAAGAACGTTCACATACAATATTGTTGCGTTATTTTCTTCCTTTACTTCCCGTTTGTACGGGCTTAAAGCAGATTCGGAGTGAATGATGACCACACTTCTTGATGAAGTATCGAAACACACTTTTAGCCAATATTAATCAGGACAGCTCCAAAATCACGTAACACTCGTTGAAGAACTACTATAAACACGCTGACACAATCAGCGACACAGCCTTCACACTATCAGCCTATAACGGTGGAGATAGATTCACTGCAAAGTACCCGACTCTCCTCGGTCGTTATCAGAACTCTACGCACTCTCGAGACTCTCCACGCTACAAATCGCGATGCACTCAACGACACCCAGAGCACAGCTCCCGACTCTTCGGTTCACTCGTTCTCGGAGCTCAACACACTCTCTCGACGATGCACTAACCACGATACACTAACAGACTCTTTCGATGCACTCGACGACCCACTCGGCACTCGCTGCCCGGCTGTCAACTCGATCGACCGGACGGACTGACTAACTCGTGACTAACTATATCGCACTGACTCTCTGCGTACCAGCAGGGTTTATATAGTTCCCCCGCGTACCAGCAGGGTTTATATAGTTATATAGCTATATATCAGATTCAATTAACACTGAAGAGCTAAAATTTTGAGAGCTAATTTTTTAAAAACTACTTGTGCGATTTTTACAAAACTTGGCAATTTGGCATAATTTGAGTGGTAGAATCGAAATATGGAAAAACGTGGCATGTCATTTCAGAAAAAGTCCATTTTTATATCAAAATACCCATATTAGAACAATGTTATATATAAATCTAATACATATCCTAAGTCGCGCTTTCGAGACATGAAAAACGCAAGCTCAACTTCGTCAATCGGCCCAATACAACGATAGAACTGCCCTTTTTTTGCGCAGTGTACCAGTTTTTAAAATGATAACTGCTAAGCATATTATTTAGCAAAAAGACGGTTATGACTGTTAAGAGAAACCAATACTGAAAACAAAATAAAATAAAGTTACAAATGGAACTTAATGGTGAAGAAACACTAATTATGGTTGTTTACACACACAACACATATATACATATTTACTCACTGATTTGTCTTCAAGCTCTATTTCCAATCCGGCTTTCCTGAGATTCTCCTGGAACATTTTCCTGAATTCATTACGCCTATAATCAGAATCTTGAAAGGCAAGGACAAAGTCAATTTTCCGAACTCCATCCCGAAAGTAAAGAGTTGACATTTCTTCGTTATCCCTGAGAGGGGCTGAAGGTGATGGAAAGGACGAAGGCTCGAGATCCTGCGGAAAGGAAAATAGACCCATCAAAAAATCCTAAAAGAATACTTTTTCGTTTAAGATTAATTCCTGTTCAACGTGATTTGATTCATGGATAAATATGCCATTCGGTAAAATTTTAAATATCAAAAGTTTAAGAATGTCTCACTTTGCAATTGTATCAAGATTTACTTTAAATTTTCATAAAAAGATTTTCAACTTCTGAGTTTTTCCGAGATTAGAATAATAGGTTTATAGAATACTTTAACAAATGTCTAAGACGGAATATAAGTCTATTTATTTAATCGACTATGGTGAAGTACAGAAAAGCTATCTGCCTAATGGAAAATATGATTTTATGGATAAATTTCTAAGGCTTGCATTCAGGTTACTATTACACAAATGAGTATCTCTTGATGGTAGGAGCATTATTTCATTTTAAAAAAATAAATAAATTAGGGCTTCAAACTGCGTCAATTTAGGACATCTGACGCATATTTAGCAAACTATTACTTTTAACAACTGAATTAGTCACACAATTGTTCCATTTTATATGTGAACAAAATTATCCATGAATCCATCACTTAGACATTTTTGATGTTCCTTAGATAAATTCAAATGTCTAGATAATACACATTTGAAGACGACTATGCTTAGAACACTGTCAAAGCGGTTTGAACGTCTGACAAAGTTCTCAGAACACCGGCCCTTGTATACTTCTTTACGAACTGTCATATTAATTATTAATTTACCTTTTAATTTTACACGACTTTTTATTTTTTACCTGTAAAAAGTGCTTTACCTCGGATTACAAAATGTTTGTGTACCCCATACAGCGATTGCTGCGCTTTGTCACAGAGATGTCAGCAATGACCTTGATCCAAGTCATGTTGTTCCCGTATTCATTAATTCGAGGATTTCTTTCTAGGAACATGGTACTACCATTAGGAACTTGTATATGATGATAATCTCGAGGATTCCAGGAAATTTCAGACCTCAAGCGATTGTAAAATGTGAAAAATCATAGCATTCAACGCCTATAAAAGAAATATACTCTATTTGACAGAAATATATCTGTAACCATGTTTTTTGTTTATAATTATATTAGTGCCTTTCAAAAAGCAATATTCTCCTGATTGTTATTGCCAGATCTCTTCTGAAAATAACCGGGTTTTTGTATAAGTTTTGTGATAATTTAGTGATACTAACATCTCTCTCATTTGTATGTACGTATTTTAAATTCAAAACACAAAATATTTCCACATTTTGTATCATAAAAAATTCACTAAATCCTGTCCCTTGCATTAATAATCTGTTTGTCTTCAACTGTCCCTTGCATCAATAATCTGTTTGTCTTGTTTTAATTAAGATAATCTGTCTGTATAATCTGTTTGTCTTCAACTATCATAAAATAAGACATGATCTCTAGTTTGGAATAGTGGCATTTACAGTATATAATCCTACTAACATAAAAATTGTAATGGTGCTTTAAGGAGTAAAAATACATTAGAATTTCTGACACCACATATCCAGAGCTCCAATTATTAGTGATATTTCGTATTTTCTGTATAAGCTACGTAAAATTAAACATATTGTTCCTAGATTTACGTGCTTTGAAATTGTTTTGTAAATTCACTTAAATAATGTAAAAAAAGACAAGGTTTATTATACAGCGCTTATCTTTAGAAAGCTTTTGATTTGTTCTAGATGAAGTTTGAAGATATGAGTAAATAACGTTTGATAAACAGCGAATTTTCTTCAACAAATAGCTTACCGATTTGTAAATATTAATTGACACATAATGACTTACTGCCTACTTTGTAGCCTTAATGCTCCTTTTAGTCCAGTAGTAATTAGCCCAGAAGTACCATTAATTTCGTTTTGACATTTTGCGCTAATTCACGACAAGCGTTGTTTCCCTTTTCAAATTGTTCCCACCAAATATTATCGCCCTGTATTATATCTAAAGAAATTAAATAATGAAGAATCTGCATAAATATACGTATGTTTCTCGCATTGTGATAAAACAATGGTACCTAGAGCCATCAAAATTTGAATAATGTAATCTTCCATAGAATATGGGCATGTGGAAGCCCAAATTTGAAATTTGTTTAATTATTGATTTCATATTTTGTAAAACTTTAACGAATTTTTTATTAACAAACTCAAGGATTTTCAAGCAAGAAATGGCAGCGTTGCACAGAAAAAACATTTTTATCTCCATCGCGCGAGACTGTGTATCGGAAATTCTAAAAATATATTCATTTTAAAATTATTCTGCGACATTGCTCTTGAACTGAATTTTGTGGTTTAAGTGCAAAGAACGCCCCTTTTGGATGTAATTTAAAATCTGAAACCTTTCAGATTTTATTAAAATTTGTATTTTTTTTAATTTCATTGTTTTATTTTAATTCAAAGAAAAATGGGTTGTATATTTGGGTATATAAAAAAAGTAATTTCATTTGTTAATTTTATCAATATCTTTTCTACAAAGAAATTAAAAACACTTTCTATTTTCTGAAGTTGTATTTGTAACAAGAAGACAATTTTATAATCTGGATTTTCGATAATCTAGATGAGCAGTAGTCCCATTATTCCGATAGTTTGGATATAAAATCTGTAGAAAATTTTAAATAATTTATATTTAAAATTCTAATACTTCTATTTGCAGAGTGAAATGGGCATTACTAGGTCTCCTGTCTTATGAAGTTGACATTTATGCCTTACAGAAACATAAAGGGCTGATAAAATTTTATATATTTTATTACTTACATTTAAATTGTTAACGCAATTCATTTTTAATAACTATCACACGGATAGTAAGGTAAAGCAATATTTATACAAGCTGCATATAAAAAAGAAGAAAGTGCAGAAAACCTATAAAAATTAGTAACAAATGCCCAAAACGTTCACACAGAAATAAAACAGTAAACATCCGAGAGGAAACCCCGGTGGAAGAGAGAAATAAAATTTCAGAATTTGCATTAAAACATTTTCAGAAAAGTATGGTTCCAAGAAAACTTAAAATGAATTATACGGAATAAGAACCAAAATAAAATAGCTCCGAAAAAAATGCTGATTCGCTCTCTTTAAACTAGTTTCTTTCCATTTCTATTCCTTCCATTAATTTAATAACGAAATTTCATCCGCAAAAGCCATTGGTGCCTTTCATCTTCATCAAATAAATCAATTAACTTTCGCTCCACTTAAATCTTGGTAAATGAAATTTGTCGTTATAGAAATAATCAAAGAATCATTTTCTATTTTTCTGAGTCTTACATTTTCGTAATTTTTTGCATTTAAAACATATATATGTGTGCGTGTGAGTGTGTGTATTAATTAATTATAACTAATCGTATAATAATTTTGCAGCGCATTTTTAAAACTAATTATGAATTTAATTATTTTATCTCTCGGTTTCCAATAATGCTTTGAACTCTTCTGTCGCATTTGACGATACATGAAAAAATTTAAAATTTTAAACAAAAACTGATTACATTTGGGTAGCGTCCACAATATTGTAATGTAATGCATTTTAGGCAACATTCTCTTAGCCTTCTGAGAACAGAAAAAGGTTTTTATTGCATTATTTTGTTAGCGGTTCACAAGTGTTCATAAAAAATAAAGCGCTAAACGAAACAGCATTAAATAGAGTAACTTTAAAGCACAATTAAAAGGGAGAGGAAACACACAACCAGGAATAAACAAGCTTTAATTTTATTTTATTATGCATACTAAGAGGTGTAATCGTATAAAGGGATAAGAGCTTGAATTTCACATTTCTTTCTTTGCAGTCGAAATTCCTGAATCCTTTGAAAATCCCGATTTTTAAGACTAATTAAAGAATAGCCTGATTAAAGAGTTGGCTGCCAGAAGGAATACGGTGAAGTATAGACTAATAAAAATGAGTGAAGATGTTTCAAAGCAAAAAGTCTTGTTTAGTTAATGTCGATATGTTTTCAATACGCCTTGATGAAAGCATCGATGTGACTTTATGAACAAAGTTAGCTGTTTTCGTTCGATTTGCTTGCGGAAATATAAGGAAGAGAGGAATAAGTTGCATTGCTTTGTTTACCAACCAAATGAACACAGGTAAGGCTATAATGAATGAAATAAAGCAAGAATTTGCAATAAAAATGAGATTTGACTTGAGTAAGAACTTGCAATAAAAATGAGATTTGACTTAAAGAAAATTGTTTGTGTATCAACTGATATGGTAGGAATATATATCCAAATATGGTAGGAATACATAACGGGTTTGTAAAACTTCTGGCTGAAGAAGATCAACGCCCCTTGTGTAATTTCATTGCATTTTGCATCAACAAACATGATGTGCAAAGACTTGTATGAATTTATTTCAAAATGTTATGTCTCAATATGGTAATAGTAGAATCTCAATATGGTGAACTTGTTGAATATGAATACGGTGAAGTAGAATCTCAATACAACAACGTTCGCTGCCTGAGTTGTGGACAACTTTTTCACAGATTTGTGGATGAATTTCGATTTTTTATAACAGAAAAGGAACAAGAATTTCCAAAACTTTTCGAACCTATTTGGTTGTGTGATTTAATGTTTTTCAGCGACTTGACAACACTAATAGATCATTTTATACTTACGAATTAGCAAAGCCAGGTGATGCCAAATACTAAAAAAAGACGTGCCGGTCTTCTTGCATGTGCTAAGTTTAAATCTTCAGAGAAACTTAGTTAAAACGGAAAAGTAAAACTTAAACATGTTACTCACACATTAAAGCCTTCCAATACTTATTTTATACTCGTATATTTGACTACCATGGATTTTGATAAAGTTACAAAAAAGTCTAATATTTAATATATAGATAAATTTCAGTTTGTAGAGCAAAATGTGCTACGTTTTGAAGTCACGAATACGAGACCAACTCCGCATCACCTAATTTAAGCTTAAGGAAACGATATTAAACATTACCATGGTCTACAATATGCAAAAGCTCTTCATTAGAAATAAAATTAAAAACAGAAAAAACATTGTAACTGCTTAAAAAA